TTTATTGAGTTATTGAGATGTATTGTCCTTGGTGCAGCCCCCCCCCGCAAAAACCACAATACATCTCAATAACTCAATAAAAAAATAAAAAAGAAAACCCAAATAAGTAATAACTAGCACACATTCCCCTATACATATGTGTATATAACATTATATTACACCGGTATAACCATCTTGCATGTTACATTGGCTGTGCAAGTCTATCATATTAATTCTGATTCTGGTGTTATGCTGCATTTAGAAGTCTGTCAGCCCAAGGATAAAAGCTATTTTTCAGTCTATTTGTTCGACTGGAAATGCTTCTATATCTCCTGCCCGATGATAGGAGAGTAAAGAAGTGCTGACCAGGGTTTGAATCATCCCTGATTAAGGCACCGGGTCCTGGCGATTTCATCCAGTGGGGTCAGGAGGGCAGCCAATGATATTTTGGTGATGTGCTCATCACCATTTCTGTCCATGGCTGTCAAGCCAGCATACCATACTGTAACACAATATGTGAGAACGGTTTCTATCATACACTGGTAAAAGGAAGTCATCAGTCATTGTTCCACCTGATTTTTCTGCAAGATCCTAAAGAATTGGAGTCTCTGTTGAGTCTTTCTGACCATCGGAAGGGTTATTTTTCCAGATGAGATCTTGGCTAAGGTGCACTCCCAGGAATTTAAAGAGGAAACCCTCTCCACATAGCCCCCCCCCCCCGATGTAGAGTGGGGAAGGTTCCTCTCTCTGCTTCCGGAAGTCCAGCACCATCTCCTTTGTCTTGCTGGTGTTTAGATGCAAGTTGTTTTTTGAGCACCATGTAGATAACTTCTGGACTTTTCCCCTGTATGCTTATTTGTCTCCTCCTGTAATAAGACCCAGTACGGTGGTATCATCTGCAAACTTTATTATCCTGTTGGATAGTTCAGAAAATTTGCAGTCATGTCTGTACAAGCACAAGGTCCTAAGGAGAGCCAGTGCTGAGCTTCAGGGAGGAGGATGTGAAAGACCAAACCCTCACTGTTTGTGGATGGTCCATCAGGAAATCTTTAATCGAATCACAGGTGAGAGGGGAAATTCAAGTCAGTCAACTTTTCCATGAGGATGCTCGGCAAAATTGTGTTGAAGGCTGAGCTGTAGTTTATGAAAAACATTCTGATGTACTGTAGTTCCCAGGTTTCTCTATGTGTCTCAAATAGAATGTAGGGCAGTAGCAATGGCATTGCCTGTCGACCTATTTCTTCTGTAGGTGAACTGATTTGGTCGAAATTTGTTGGAAGGCATGACCTGAGGTGTTGAAGAACCAATCTCTCGAAGCACTTCATAACTACAGATGTCAGTGCAATTATTCAGGCTGTTTATTGCTGTCTTCTTCAGGACTGGAATGATAATGACTGCTTTCAGACATGATGGAACCCTGGCCGTTTGCAGGGAAACAATGGGAATAGGTTGCTCTGGAATCAAATGGTATTTATGCACATCTCATATGTGCACAAATACAATTTGATTGCAGAGCAACCCATTGTTTGCAATATTAGTATAGTATCTTTATTAATTCCAGATGTAATCCAAGCCATGCTTAAATCTAAGCAGGATAACCACTTTTTAAATATCCTGATGGTATTCTATTCATCGAGAAAAGGACCTTTACCTTGGCTTTTCTCCCAAGCATAGTGAAAGCTTGACTTGGTACTAGGTTTTTGTTTTTAATATGCTTGGTTTTTATAACTTCAATATGGCTTTTATGTTGTTTTGATTTTTGTTTGTGAGCTTCCCAGAGTTTGTTAAAGAAGGGCAGATACATACATATTTTAAGTAAATAAATAAATAACATATTCCTGATAAATCAGAAGGGGTATTTGTAATTTCTACCTAACTTCCTATATATAGAATTTCAAATTTTGATTATCAAAGGTAAAATGATAAAACAACATGCAGTTTTCATACAGAAGACAAATAGACTTAAATAATAACATGGATTCTGAACTAGAAATTATCAGTCAAGAAGCCTGAATGCGTAATAAAGCTGTTTCTTTTGTTATGGTTGATTCTGCATTTTGTTGAGTCTGCAAGCATCAGAAATATTGTATGAATAAATACACCACAAAGCTGATGTTTTGCATTCATAAATCTGAACTAGAGTAAAATGTATATAATTTTTTAAATTCTTGAAATGCGTAAGAATTAAAAGTAAAGAAATGAAATTGCTTTCATAGAATTTATGCCGTCCAGGAAAAACAGAATACATTGATATGGAAATCCTAACATGCCTTGTTATTCCCAGCTGTTTATGTATGAATACATATGCTTCATTATACAAAAATTCCAATTACACCCAGTTTACTGAAGATGACTTAATTAAGTATGAAAATATGAAAATAAAATTGTTAAGGGATAAACAGCCCCATAGTTCTAACTTCTACACCTCTCTCCAGCCTCTTGATCTGTTTTCCCATGCCTTGTAACATTTGCCCTATTTATGTTAATTATTGTGTCTACAGCTTCTTAATGCTCGTATCCTCTGGAGCCAACCTGATTTTAATAGCACTTCTGGGATTTTCTATTAAGAAGTGATTGCTAGCCATCAGAAACTGTCTGCAACTAGCTAAGCTATAATTTCCTTTGTCTGTTTTCTTCTTTGCCTTTTGACCACCTCCCCTCTGATACAACCAACAGCTGCCATAGGTAAGAGGATCTGCATTTGTATCTCTACCTACATGCCAGTGTAGGCATGCTGATCTTCTTGAAAACGCAATAAACCTTATTGTGAAAATTAAGAAAACGTGTTAAGATTTCATAACCTTAGTTGATAAGGTCACATTTGAAATTTATCAACTCAATCAAATAGTTACAGGGTTATTAGAGTTTTGCAACTCATATGTTTATGACAAGCAAAAAATCAAATAGCACAAATGTTTGCACGCTTTATGAAATAATGCCTGAAGAAGTTTTGAATATAACAAAAACTGTTTTACTAATTGATTCTCCTCTAGAAAGTTTATTATGGACACCTACCTTTCTGGGTTATTACTGTTCAAGAAATAGTCTCCTGTTTCCTTCAGCTTCTCAATTCGGGATTTGAATCCCTCCAGATCAAGCTTTGTAGCTTCCATTTTACGTAACAGTGCTTGAGTTGATTCTTCATTTCTCCCATAATCTGGAGTTTCTAGCAGAAGTCCTTTTTCTGTCATCCAGGATTCTACTTCCAAAAGCTAAAAGAAAAGCAGGGCTGATGGGATTTGCACATGAAACAGATTGTTGTAATCTGCTGAAACAGAACTATATTCAATAGAGACAAAACAAATTAGGCATGCTCTCAACTAAATATGTGGATCAATGTAAATCCTATCCATGCCAGTATAGCATATATACATATATTAGTCCCTTCTGTCAAGTATTCAACACATTATTTTTATGCAAAAACGTATGCAATGTTGTTGTTAGTTGCAAAGTCATCTCTGACTCATCATGATCCCATGGACAACATTCATCCAGGCCTTCCTGTCCTTAACCATCTTCTGGAGTCCATTTATGCTCACGCTGACTGCTTCAGTGACTCCATCTAGCACCTCATTCTCTGTCATCCCCTTCTTCTTTTTGCCCTCAATCTTTCCCAACATTAGGCTCTTCTCCAGTGAGTCCTTCCTTCTCATTAGGTGGACAAAGTATTTGAGTTTCATCTTCAGGATCTGGCCTTCTAAGGAGCAGCCAGGGCTGATCTTCTCTAGGACTGATCGGTTTGATCGCCTTGCAGTCCAAGGGACTCACAAGAGTCTTCTTCAGCACCAGAGTTCAAAGGTACACAGGAATATGTTGACTCAATGCTGACAGGATTCCTCATAAAATTCTAAGGAAGAGGAATGGTAACTGCAGGAAAGAAAGCCCTACAGCATTCTGCTTCAGATGAGGAAAAGGAACAAAATTGAAAAAAAACAACCAGTATAATACTTTGACTTTTGTGGAGTCAGATTTTTCCAAAAAGAGGAAACATTATATTTCTTTTCATTCATTTAACACTTAATTTAATAAAAACTAGGGAGTGGCTCGGTGGCTAAAATGCTGCCAATAAGAAAGATTGGCAGTTGGTGGTTTGAATCCCTAGCGCCACATAACAGAGTGAGCTCCCGTTACTTGCCCCAGCTTCTGCCAATCTAGCAGTTCTAAAGCATGTACAAAATGCTAATAGAAAAATAGGGACCACCTTTGTTAGAAGGTAACAGCATTCCGTGTGCCTTTGGTGTTTAGTCATGCTGACCACATGGACACAGAGAGCTCTGGCTCTTCGGCTTTGAAAAGGAGATGAGCACTGCCCCCTAGAGTCAGAAACAACCAGCACATATATGCAAGGGGAATTTTTACCTTTACGTAGGCAGTAATATCCATTCAGACTCTAATAATGTATTTGCTAAATTAATGGAAAATATCTCACTCTCCACATATCTGAAGACAGAGACAAGCAAATAACATGTCTAGTCACACCAAATGGCTTCCCTGATTTTGCTTGTCTATATCTCATCAACCCATGGAAAGATGCTCATGAATTGCAAAAACTCCTTGTAATAACATAGTTGAAACAGAAATGGATTAGAAGAGAAGGATTGCATCAGGGTAAAGAAATTTGGTCAGTTCCGCTGAATTGGTTTGAAAAAGAAGTGATGCCCTCTTGGCAAAACAGTTATAATTTGATGGATCTAAATGGTAGAAATTGAAAATGGCTTTCCATCGCTACTTTACCTCACTGAAAAAATGCTGGGCTTTATGAGATTCTACAAGCCTCCATCTTCTTTCCTGAGCTTCATCTTTCAGATTTTCAAAGGAAATGATCAGTTCCTTTATTTGTTCCAAGATTGTCTGGGAAGCAACATCTTTTTCCTGCATCAGCTTTTGCCCAGAACTGATAACTCTTTTAATCAAGGCACCATGGCTGTTAATCTCATTCTCTAAATTCTGGAAAATACAAGATAAGAGATACATGTATTTTAAAAATGTAAGGATTTTCTCCATATATTCATCAGTGTGTCTGTTTTTAGGTTGTCAAGCTGCGGCACACCTCTTTTAGATTATGTTAACAATTTTAAATATCCATGCAGAGTTTTGCATCTATAGGAAAATTGCCAACATTAGCAAGTGTCTACTCACATGAGTGTAATAAAAGTCTCCACTTTGGTGGATTCTCTTTAACAGCTGAATTGTCCTATACCAATAGTTAAAGAAGGTCAGCACATCCTAATTTGTTTCTCTAGCTATCAACTTAAAAAGGTTAGGAGAAAGTCGCACCTTATTAATAAATAGAAGGACACCTTTTAAAAAATGCAAAACTGCTCTGGAGATTTTAGATGGAGATTTAGATACTTTTCTTGTCACCATCACAGAAACTACCCAATTAATATTATATGCTTCTTTTTTAGAATACAAACAAGCCTATTTTGCTAATTACAAGAAAACAGTAATAATTTAAGTATGAATGAAATATGACCCTGATGTATGTTTTATAGTTACACTATTTTTGCTGTTAATCTGTACACCACAATGTTGACTGAGGTGGCTTAAACTGATTAAACAAAAATAGATAAAATTGTCATTGTTTTAAATTATGGATCCAAGAGGTTAGCATGATTTTTATTTCTGTACTACTGCCTTTAACTTTTTTCAATAAATAATAGCAGATGCGACGCAGAGAATGTAATATTTGTTTATATTCACATAAGAGGTGTAGACCTATTTCTTCATAGTTTGAATAATAGCAGAAATAAGGGGCAGTGGTGTTTCATATTGCAGAGGATTACTCTTCCTCTAGAAAAGTGTTTCTCAGTCTGAGCAACTTTAAGACATCTGGACTTCAACTCCCAGAATTCCCCAGCAACATGCCTTAAAATTGCTGAACTTGGGAAAAACTGCTCTAGAAAAAGATATTATTCATTTAATTCACTTCCTTATGATATGGAAGTATGAAAACATGCAACTTTCTGAAGAACAGAAAATGAGCTTGTAGGCCTTGTGGTAAGCTAGCTAAAATAAATAAAAATAAATTTTAAAAAGCAATAGAAGAGCTGACAAAGAATTTCTCTCTGCTCTAGTATTTCCTGCTTTGTCACTCCAACTGTTTTACCTGGTGCTTTTCCTGTAAGCTTTGAACAGCTGCCAATGACTGACCATAGTCTCTGGAAGATGCCAGAGGGTGTTTCTCGTGAATCCAGGTAAACTCTTCATTGACATCCTGGAGGAACTGGTACAGCAATCTGTTGGCTTCCAAATGCTGCTGTCTTTCCTGGAGTGACTCCCTAAAACTTTTGTATCTGGAGATTCAAAATGGAACCATGGGTTTGATTGTTTTTTAAAACCTAATCTTGCATAGCTTCTTCTCTGGTAATATTGAACTGCAAACTAGGGCATATAAAACCTTTGCTAGACCTATTCTCGAATACAGCTCATCTGTCTGGAACCCGCACTGCATATCAGACATTAATACAATTAAGCGAGTCCAGAGATATTTCATGAGAAGAGTCCTTCACTCTTCTGCTCACAACAGAATACCTTATACCACAGCTTGAAATTTTGAGCTTAGACTGCTTAGAACTACCCCGCCTTTGGTCTGACTTGAGCGTACTACACAAAATCATCTGCTACAATGTCCTACTTCTCAATGACTACTTCAGCTTCAACCACAACAATACACAAGCACACCATAGATACAAACTTAGGGTAAACCGCTTCAAACTTGATTGCAGAAAATATGAGTGGTCAATGCCTGGAATGCAGTACTTGATTCTGTGGTTTCTTCCCCAAACCCCCATAACGTTAACCTTAAACTGTCTACTGTTGACTCCACCCCATTCCTAAGAGGTCTGTAAAGGGTGTGCATAAGCGCACTAACATGCCTACCATCCCTGGCCTACTGTCCCCACTTATTCATATCCATTTCCTGTTTTCATAACCATGTTTATACTTTTATCTGTTATCTTACACATGCTTGACAAAATAAATAAAATCAAAATAAAAAAGAAAGATTATGAACTAGCATGCATTGACTGTTAAAATTAAAGACTCCAGGCTGATAAACTGAAGAATGATAATATTAAATGTGAAAATTAGAATATTTAGAAGGGAGAGCAGAGCAGGGAGAAACTGCAGAACTGTTCAAGCACCTGTTTACCACCTGGTCCACTCTTATCTCTATCTCATCTGCCAGAAAATGTTTCTCCTCCTGGAATTCTTGCACTCTGTTGATCAGACTTTGGAAATGGTCCCTGTGGGCATTAAAGTTGGCTTCCAATTCTTCCTGTTTCTTTAGGAGAGCATTCAAAACCAGTAGATTATCACTGCTCTTTGGCATTTTCATCTCGCTGTCTAGATCTTCCAACCATTTATCAGTCTCATCCACAATATGTAGAAATTGCAGAGCCTGAAGCCAGAGGGGGGGAAAATCCATATACAGAATGGCATTTAAACACTGTTGCTACTACTAGTATCATTTGTGGATTGATCAGTTCTGTCTCTGTAACAGCCTCTCAGAAGCGTACACATAAACACAATGCATTTATTTTAGTATTTTAGTTTGTTGCTAACTGAAAGTTAGTTAACCAGTTAGTTAGTTGGGGAATTTCCAGAATGACTAAGTTACCACTAAAGCCTTGAGTTCTTTCCTGTTGCGTTTTACCTTGTAAGCATCCAGAATTTTTCTTTTCTTTTCCTCACAGTTTTCCAGCAACTCATCCCAAAGCTCATCTATTTCTTGGAGTCTTGACTGGAGGACATCAAAAGCATAATGCCTTTCATGGAGCATTTTTTCTCCTTCCTGCAAAAGATACTCCAAGTCATCTCTTGTGGCTTAGCTATGATGTCTTTAAGCAGCTACACCTCCCACCAATCTTATCATTATAATAAAATTTAAGTTATTTTTTTATTTTTGCCTAAGATAAGACTGTAAATTATTTAGAATTATCCAGAAACACCTTTTCAGTAAGTCTCATTCTTTGAAATGTACTGAAACTGACCAGGCTTTAAAAATTATTCAAAATGTATAGGAACAAGGGCATAGCATCTCTTTAAAAAAGATGTATCTTTTGTCAGATTTCTGCATAAGCCTGAATGAGAAGATAGCTAGTTTTAAAAAGCAGTTAATTAAAGTAACTGTATGTCTAACGAAACTCCTTAAAGGAGCCGTTTTTTTTGTATACAGAAGACATAGCTGTTTTAAGAATTAGAATTAAAATAACATATTTGGAAGGGACCTTGGAGGTCTTTTAGTCCAATCACCTGCTCAGGCAGGAAACCCTATACCAGTGATGGCAAACCTTTTTTGCCTTGGATGCTAAAGGCATGCACACGCTATTGCGTGTGCCTGCATGCCCACCCCCATAATTTAATGCCCTCCACATGCCATGCCCCCTGCACATGCACGTGTGACACACCCTCTGCTACTTTGCACATGGCTTTCTTGGAGCCTGGGAAAGGTGAAAATGGCCTCCCTCGCCCCCAAAGGCTCTCCAGAGGTCAGAAATGGCCCATTTTCTGACTTCCAGTAGGCCCAGAAGGTCCATTTTTCACCCACCCCAGGCTCCAGAGGTTTTCTAGGAAAATGGCTCAACATGCAAACCAGAAGTTTGGGAACGGACTTTCAGGTTGCCCGTTGGGCCATTTTTTATCCTCCAGAGGCTCCAGGAGGCTTCCCTGAAGCCTCCGGAGGGCAAAAAACAGCCAATAAATGGCTAAAAAATCAAGGCCAAAAACCAGCTGGCCAGCGTGCACATGTACTCTAGAGCCAACAGGGCAATACCTTGCATGCCCTCAGCAATGGCTCCGTGTGCCATCTGTGGCACATGTGCCATAGGTTCTCCACCACGGCCCTATACAATTTCAGACAAATGGTTGTCCAATCTCTTCTTAACACTCCCAGTTTTGGAGCATTCACAACTTCTGGAGGCAAGTTGTTCCACTGGTTAATTGTTCAAACTATCAGGAAATTTCTCCTTAGTTTTCTGTTACTTCTCTCCTTGATTAGTTTTCACCCATTGCTTCTTGTCCTGCCTTCAGGGGCTTTGGAGAATAGCTTGACTCCCTCTTCTTTGTGGAAGTAATATTGGAACACTGCTATCATGTCTATCAGACTAGAAATACCCAATTCCAGCAACTGTTCTTTATATGTTTTAGCATCCAGTCCCCTAATAAGGTGGCAATGTTCTCATAGTCACAGGTGTACTAAACTACCTCTTCTGAATTATTTTTGAATAATTATAATACATAACATAACAAAACATAAAACATAAACTAAAACAGAACATAACGTAACATAACATAATGTGGTATTTACTTACTGCTTTGATTCTGTTGAGATGATTTTTGTTAGCCACAATCTCTGCCTGGAAAGTCTGGTGTTTTTGTAGTTTAGCTTGAAGATTGCTGGGATCTCTCCAGCTCTCATCAAGGGCAATACTGTTTTTTTCACTCATCCAGGAAGCTATCTTTGGAGAGAAAAACACAGTTATTAATACAATACAATAGCAGAGTTGGAAGGGACCTTGGTGGTCTTCTAGTCCAACCCCCTGCTTAGACAGGACACCCTATACCGTTTCAGATAAATGGCTATCCAACATCTTCTGAAAGACTTCCAGTGTTGGGCATTCACAACTTCTGGAGGCAAGCTGTTCTACTGATTAATTGTTCTAACTGTCAGGAAATTTCTCCTCAGTTCTAAGTTACTTCTCTCCTTGATTAGTTTCCACCCATTGCTTCTTGTTCTACTCTCAGGTGCCTTGGAGAATAGTTTGACTCCCTCTTCTTTGTGGCAGTCCCTGAGATATTGGAACATTGCTATCATGTCTCCCCTAGTCCTTCTTTCTATTAAACTAGACATACCAAATTCCTGCAATCGTTCTTCATATGTTTTAGTCTCCAGTCCCCTAATCATCTTTGTTGCTCTTCTCTGCACTCTTTCTAGAGTCCCAACATCTTTTCTACATCGTGGTGACCAAAACTGAATGCAATATTCCAAGCGTGGTCTTACCAAGGCAGATTCCACTGATTAGATTAAATTCCCAACAGTTTCCCAAAACCCTGAAAGTCTACCAAGAATCAGGATCAAGCAATTTGGCCTCTCCCTATATTCTTTGGATTATACTACTGTACCATATTTGGTTCTTATTGGTTATGTTGGCTAGGATTCATGACATTTGTTGTGCATTGGAAGTTTTCAAATATATTTTTTCTGGTACAGAAATACTCATACATGTATGTATGTATGTAATCACAGGAAATTAAATGAACACATTATACCTCAAAAGAATTGTGCAGAAATTTTTGTAATAGCCAGGACTCCTTCAGCAGACGCCTGCGCATTAAAGCAATTTCCAGAAGTTTTTCTTTTCTAGGAAGGATACATAATACTGATGATGTAAGTTAAGGCAGCTTGTTAAACTGATTTTCATTTCAGAAGTGATTATAAATGCAAGATTAATTTTTGCCAGGGCAATGGAAGGAAAACTAAAAAAGAACAGCATGAGGAAATGAAACAGGAAATGCCACAGCAGAGTTGTTCCTCAAACGGGCACATTATAAAAATCTTATTTGATTTCCAGAAGGATGAGATGGGTGGATAATCACTGAATTTTTCTAGGGTTTTATTTGAAGCACACAATAATGTAGTTAATGAGTGGCAAGTAATAAAAAAACCTATTAAGAGAGAGGATACCAATTTCATTGTACACATGATGTACAATTACAATAAAGGAGAGGGGTGGGGTGGTTAAACCATATAGGATATAGAGATGAAATGGGAGAAAAAACCTGAATGGTACCTTCTCAACACAGCCTGGCACTTAGTCATTATATTCTCTGAATCATAATGCCGACTGTCCTTCAGCTTTTGGGCAAAGACAGCTATATTATCAACCTCCATCAGATGGGTGTTCAAGTCTTTTTCAAATTGCATATGCTTTTGCTGCAGACTTTCCACACTGGATATTGAATCCTGTATCAATTAGAACAAGTTAATGTAATATGGAATGGCAATTGATAAGAATTCGGGGAGTTGGTTGGAAATTGAAAAACGCCCCGGTTGGGAAGAGGTGATCTAATGCCATATGATTAATCCAACTTATTCTCCATTAGAAAAGTTATGTTTATAAAGAGTTGTGTTTATAAACTGACTAAATGGGTATAAATCATGCATGAACAGAACAAGAGAAGGCTTTGGGGATCCTAAACAGGATTCAAATTATTTCTATGAAACTTCCTTTTTACTATGAAATCTAAGAATATTGGGTTCTTCTCAAAGCAACCTTTGTTTACTTTCAGGTCTATAGAACTCAGATATAATAAGCTGTCCAGAGTCATTTTATCGGTAAGATGAGTGGAATATAAATTTAATAAATAAATTAACTTTAGAGCACTGCAGTTTTTTTCAAAAATTCTCATTCTGCATGTACTTCTGCTTCTATTGAGTATATGGCAGCAAAACTGGGTTGGAGAATGATGCCACAGACCAGAAAATCTAATAATCTTGCTAAGCATGACAAAAGGTACATGATAGAATGAGAAATTCAGTGGGATTGTGGTAGAAAAAACCCTGATAGTAAGTATTCAAAAATGTTTTGTTCTGCACTTTTATTCTATGCCTACATTTTCCACTTTTGAGTGAGAATAGTGAGAATAGAGAGTATTTCACTTACCCCCAAGTCTTTGTTTGTTAGGAAGGCCTCTTTGCTGCTTAGCCAACTTTCACTCTCTTCCACATAACCAAAGAATATCTGTTTAGGAGAGAAAAAAAGCTCTGTCACTTCCCAATATAATTACCGTACATTTAAAAGTTCAATGGAGCTTAGTTGGAAATAAGAGTGCTTAGAATTGAACACATTGATGAACACTATAGTATATAAAAACTGTCCATTGAGCCATTGCAGTATTAACAAAGGAGAAATTTGTAGGTTCAGAATAGTGGTAGATAAGTAACCCCTTTGGGCAGTTTTGCCTTTTTTGAATTTGCAAGATTGCATAAGTATTGTAAATAGATTTTATCCACCAAGACTGGTAACTATCATTGTTCTATTAATTTGATCTACAGCCATCTACTAGTAATTATCCATATTTGTACAGGGCAGATATGATAGTCACCAAAAGTCGTGATTAAATCAGTTCTCTCTAGTCTAAAAGAATTAGCTCAGGGATATAACCCAGCATTTTAACTTTTAACTGGGAGCATTAGGGACTGAATCACGAATTTCTGCATGTGTTATGTGGTCCTTCAGTATACCGCAGTTGTTCCCTGATTCATACACCATTTCAAAGAAAATGGGATCCTTAAACACACCCATTCTTTCAAGATTTTCCCATATAGGGAGAGTAGACCAAAAGTTCCAATACCTTTTACATTTAAAATTGAAACCATGCCATGATTCATTTAAGGAGAATTATCCCACTAATTCAAAATTACCAAAAAAAAAAAAGGTTGAGGCTGAGCTCAAGATCTGTTTCAGGATGGAAAAAAAAGAAAAGAAAAGAAAAAAGAAATGGAAGCATACTTCTTCTCTTTGGAGAAGTCTATGTTTAAAGAATATTCACCAGCAATCACTGCTTCTTTGCTTCCATTTGCCATGCCGTAACTATCAATCAAAACCTTCCTTACAGCATTTACTCTTCTTCTTATGGACTACTCCAGAATTATTATTATTTTTTAACTACCTGTAAGTCTCTGGCTTGATGTAATTTTAGACTTTGCTCTTCATAGGCCTGGATCATTTCATTTAATGCTTGTTGTAACTTGATGAGGGAATGATGGATCTCAGGAGCCGCATAATGGCCAGAATTGCCAAGTTTCTGACCGTAGTTGCTAAGAGCACCAAATCTTTCCCCTCGAGCTTCAATCTCTGCCTAAAAGATGTCAGACAGATTGATGGTAAATGTTTAAACAGATCAACATTCAGGTTTTTTGGAAAACAATAGTAAACTTTATTTAGCAATCTTCCACCATTTATATTTATGTGGAAAGTTAAGGGAACATGGTTTGGGAAAGAAGGAAGGTTTCAGAATTTGAAAAAAAAATATATAAAGAACCAGTTATCCTCTCTTTCACCTTAGCAAAGACTAATTTTTACCTTAGTTAAATCTGGAAACTTTTAGCTATAAATAAAACATGTTTTTAATTGCACATTATTAAGACAAACAGTGTCACCCACAAAAGAGGTAAACTATATCCCCAAAATTTCAATTATCTTCCAGCAGGTTTCAGCAAGTTTTCAGCAGGTTTCAGTACATGAAGCACTTTGATGATTGTATTCTTGATGTTAATATTAATAACATCAAATGTGTTTATTTAATGGATATCTTCTATCATTTCAAATTTGTGAAAGAAGTGAAATCAGTGATTCTTAAACTATTTGACCCATCATCCCTTTTCCTGGTTTTGAATGTCATTATCCCCACAAAACAAAAAAGACAAAACCAGCCTCTGTTATTTTACAGAAGCATCTTAGTGACAGCTGTACCAAACTGGATGCATAGTTCACAAATAAGCAATTATAAATTGCTCCATCATCTCCAGAATACACTCCATTTACCCCTCGTGTAAGAACCTCTAAGTTAAGCACTGGCTACTATGAAGCATTCCAGAAAAGCTTTTTTTAGTCTGCCAGTAAATTATGTGACTCACTAGCCATTTTAAAGGTGTGGATGATCCTCCTGCCCCCACCTTTTCATCAAAAGATAAACATTTCCCCTCATCTTTATTTCTCTGAACAAATGAACTTCTGCACCTTATATCATTTCCGAGCAGAAATAGAAGACCGTCAGGATACATAATTACTCTTTTCTCCCTCCTTTCCTCCTGAGAATTTGCATCTTGTTCGTGGAGCTTTCAGTGTCTCATGTGTTAATACTATCAACCAGGGGTGAAATTCAGCAGGCTCTGACAGGTTCTGGAGAACCGGTAGCAGAAATTTTGAGTAGTTCAGTGAATCGGCAAATATCAACTCTGGCTGGCCCCATGGAGACTTTGCAATATCCTCCCGCCAGGAGTGGGGAGGGAATGGGGATTTTGTAGTATCCTTCCCCTGTCACGCCCACCAAGACACGCCTTCAGAACCGGTAGTTAAAAAATTTTGAATTTCACCACTGCTATCAACCCCTGATGTTTCTTCTTTTTTCTTTTTCTTTTCTGTGGTTCTCTGTAGTATAAATGCAAGCTTAGCACGATACCTCCAAATGTGTATATTCCAAGGGAGCCCCTCTATAACTTGTCTTGACCTCAATAGACTTAATGGCATCCACCCTGAGCAGGATATTTATTAGCTTCTTTTTTTTTCAACAATTACTTGAGCATTTGGACATTTGTAGGTTTCTTCAGTAGCAAAATTATTCAAACCAATATGTACTTACAATAAGTACTCCAAATTGCCAGTAGCTCAGTTGATATTCCATGTAAGTTCTAGACTTGCAAAAATGGGCTCATGTTTACACTGCTATGAATTTTAGCAGAGTTCAAAGAAAACTCAGGTTTACATAAAAAAAAACAGATCTCATCTGAGCTTAGCAAAGAATGATCCAGCTCAAAAAGTAAGCACAGAAATAAGTAATGGAAATGCAATTACCTGGTATTGCTACAATCAATGTTATTTCAGTTGTCAAGTATTGAAATTGCTCGTTAGGAACTTTTTAAAGTAATGGAAACTATTACAAAGTTGGCAATGCTATGCTGATATAATTCATACTTGCCTTTATTTCTTGATGCTCCTCTATCAGGCTTTCTGCTTCAGCTAGACTTTTCGGAAGATCCCCAATTTTGATTTGAATTTTGATTTCCTGAATCCAATCTAGTAATTCCTTCAGTTCAGAGTTAAACTTCTGTAACTGGTAAGAAGATCTCAGCTTCTCCCCCCTATTGTACACAAAACAACATGAATGTAATTCTATAATATAATGGCTACTTCAGCTTCAATCTCAATAATACACCGGCAAACAATCAATACAAACTCAAAGTAAACTGCTCCTAACCTGATTGCAGAAAATACGATTTCAGCAACAGAGTGGTCAACACCTGGAATGCTCTACCTGACTCCGTTGTTACATCCCCTAACCCCCACATCTTCAACCTTAAATTGTTTACTGTGGACTTCACCCCATTCCTAAGAGGACCATAAAGGGGGCATGCATAAGCGCACCAGCACGCCTACCGTCCCTGTCCTACTGTCCCCCTTTATTTGGACTAATTTCCTTTGTTCATGTCTATGTTTATACTTATACCTGTTATCTTGTACATGTTCGACAAACTAAATAAATAAAAATAAATAAATAAATGAAATAATTGAAACTGTTACTAAATATAATCTGCTAGAATAAAATTGAGTTTAACGAAAACAGAAAGCTTCTTAATTGTTGTTTACTTATTTCAAGGGAGATGTAAGAATGCATACTTAGACATGGTGGGCTTTTCACAATTCTAGTTTTCAAATCATATGTTTTCCTTTAACAACATTAAAGTCCCTAGAGAGAAGAACTCTATTATTGTACATGCCAATTGGAGTCTGCTGCCAGAGTTTGCCTAGATTCACTTTTTCCCCCTATCCCCCAATCTATTTACTCCCTTTTATCCCCCAAATTGGAACCAAACTAAATGATCCAAAATAAGTAAAACTCTGAAGGCTATCAGATCCCAAAGGAGAAGAAATGTACCTTTGTAGGATGGAATATCAATGCCAGGGCTCCTAGTTGTGTACCTTTGCATAAACCTAACATTGAACTCTAACAGATGGAGGAAGTTTCTTCTTCACAAAGATTTCAGTCCTTTTCACAACCAGCAATAGCATTTAGTGATCATCTGATGGATAATGCATTCTAAGAGCATTTATTAATCACCTAATGGCTGTATGATTGCCACATGAAGTTCTCTGGCACCAGAGTTCTTAAAATAAAGAATGGGTCACCTATTAAGATGTCATCTGTATCCTGCACTTAGCAGGGACTTGGACTAGTGAACTTATAAGGTTCCTCTCAACTTTCTGATTAAACACACCTATTAATACATATTGTAGAATGTGTTTGTGGATTCTAAATGTTGGAAGTCTATTTTAAATTTCCACTAAATAATGGCACAAAACAGGACAAACTAAAGCACAGTATGTGAAATCTACAGATTGAAGATGTAATCAGACATACACTATATTGCCAAATATAGTGTTTACTGCCTTTACTCGCATATGAACGTATTGTAAGTGACATTCCATTCCTAATCCATAGGGTTCAATATGACGTCGGTCCACCCTGTGCAGCTATAACAGCTTCAACTCTTCTGGGAAGGCTGTCCACAAGGTTCAGGAGTGTGTTGATGGGGATTTTTGACCATTCTTCCAGAAGCGCATTTGTGAGGTCACACACTGATGTTGGACGAGTTTACGGGGCCTCCCATTTCATGGCTGAGTTGCTGTCATTCCCAAACACTTCCACGTTCTTATAATACAGCTGACAGTTGACCCTGGTATATTTAGGAGCGAGGAAATTTCATGACTGGATTTGTTGCACAGGTGGCATCACAGTTCCCCGCTGGAATTCACTGAGCTCCTGAGAGCTACCCCTTCTTTCACAAATGTT